CCCACACACAGTGCACATCGATATTGAACGCAGGCTGCGTGAGCCTTGGCTTTTTGGCGTTCTATATACGATGTTCACGCGTATTGGAAGCTCAAATCAAGTATACACTAAATGGGTAGGCACAGAGCGGCTCACTAAAAAGCTCGTGTTCTCTCCATCGGCTAAGAAGTTCGATGAGTTCTGTCGCGAGCATGACAGACTGAAGGTTCTGCACGATCGACAGGTTTCATCGATGAAATTCATCATGCTGAAGTCGGCCTTCTTCACCGAGTCCGATCCAGGAAGGTTCTTCTAGCGGGAATGCAGGATCTGGACAAACTCCTACCTCCTCTGCAGTGTACGAGGTGAGTGCCGCCGATGTCAAGAAGATGCTAGACGGCTATGAAGCTCGTGTTACTGAGCGGGTATGTAATGAACTAATTAATATTGTTGTCAATGCAGTGCAGACTGGTCTGCTTGGCCGTACTCTTGGTTCAGGAGACAGTGGAGAGCAAAGAAGAATCCAGGACGCGCATGTCAACACGTTCATTGAGATGTCGAAGACCAATCCTTCCGGATTCCGTGGAATAATGAAAATGAACCCATCTGAATCTGTGGACCACATCCGCCGCATGCGAGTGCATGGGCAGGCCGACGCCTACCAACAAGGCCCTGAACGTGCTGCGAGCGATGTTTCTGTGACCAACCGACATGCGCCTCCATCCACTCACATCGACATCGAGCGTCCACTGCTCTCTCATACAGAGGCGCACGACGGAGAGTGTGGTTTGATGGATGGTCGATAGTGGGCCTCACGCACAGGTTGTGTGCGCCACAGGTGCCTGCGTGCAATCATGTGCACGCGTGTTTTTGCTCGGGCCGAGCAATGGCCAGTCCTTTATTCGTACAACCCAAGTCTGAGTCGTAGTAGACCCCATCTCCATCAGATTTATGTCTTAGTAGTAAGTTATTGACCTTGAGACTTAATGGCATCTTCACTGAGTCGTGTTCATGAGGCGGAGCCCGGTCAAACTCTCACATCTGGCTCCGAT